GTGTATGAAGAAATACAACATGTAATAAATCTCTAAAGATAGTTAGAGATTAAGTTGTGAAAAGCTTTTCAATGGCAAACAAAGTAGATTGCATTTGATCTTAGAATTAACAAGAAGCTAGTGGAGTTTACTGAGCAGGGAACTGGCATGTTCAGACTTGTGCTGTAGTAATATCACTGTGGCAATTGTTTGGAAGAGGTATTGGAGAGGAGAAACATTTGGGGCAGGAGGTCAATTAGCAGCTTATCATCTAAGGCAAAATTAAAAGAAATTATTTGAAGTTCAAGCAAAAAAAAAAAAACACTTCAGAAAGATATGTGGAGGAGTCCTATGGGAAAATTTGATATAAGGAGGTAGGAAAGGTGGAAATCACATGGTACAGAAACATATCATGTGGAATAATTGTAAGGTAACAAAGAAGGCAAACATCCCATGGGAAAGTGTTGTGGATTAAAGCAAAAGATGTTAGGGATGATCGAGACTGACCCCCTCCTATTATCAAGGAGAAGACTGAGGCCCAGAAAGGTCATGTAACTTGCCTAACTTCACACAGCTAGCAGAAAACAGAGTCAGAATTCATAACCAAGTCCTTGGACTCTAAATTCAGTGCACTTTTGATTATGCCCTGCTTTTTTCCCCCTTATGACAATGACTATCGAGAGATTAACATGGAAAAAAGGAATGTCTCCCACCCCATATCACAGTGGAAAGCTCAAAAATAACAGGATTCAAGAAAAACGATCAATATGGAGCAATGTCATAATATGAGGAATAAAGTCTATAACAGTTCAAGGGATAGAAGAACTAGCATAGAAACAGCCAATTAAATTCAGTCCATTTTTCTGAATCCAAATTGTGTCACTCTCCTAAGTCAGAATTGCTTTAGTGATTTCTTTTTGTCTTTAAGAAAAAGTAAAAATTCCTCATTTAGGCATTTTAGACCCTTCACTAACTGGCCCCAATCAATCTTTCCAGAGTTTATATCAGATGGGATCTTAATGCATGGCAATAATTTGGAGAGGAAAAAAGGGATGGGAGAAGGCATTTCAGGAAGAGTTAATAGCCTCAGCAAAGGAATTATTGTGATGTTTATGACAGTGTAAAGATGAGACTGGCTCTAGTACATAATACATATCGTTGAGTAGGTATAAATAAGGTTGCATGTGTGGGTTGGGGACAGATGATGGATGATCTTAAAAGCCAGGCAATGGGATTTAGACTTTATACAGGGAGGGAAAAGCTGGGAGGGGGAAAACTAAGACCAATTGATGAAAGCTGGAGGAAATAGAGGCAGCTAGGTCATGCAGTAGATAGAGCACTAGCCTAGGAAGAGTCAAAAAGACATGAACTCATATGCTGCCTTAGGCATTTACTAGCAGTATGACCCTGGACAAGTTTCTTAATCACTATCTACCTCAGTTTCCTCAATTGTAAGTGAGGGATAATAATAATATTTACCTCCCAGGGTTGTTGTGAGGATCAAATAAGAGAATATTTGTAAAGTGATTCATGAGCTTTAAAGTATCATATAAGTACTAGCTGGTATTATCATTGCTATTATTATGAGAAAAATTACAAATTACAAAAAAATTACAAGTATTCAGGGCTGTTCAAAAATGGAATGGATTAAAAGTAGTGATCCTCCAATCACTAGAGGTCACCATTTGGAGGCTGGATGATAACTTATCAGGAATGCTGAAGAAAGTATCCCTATTCAGGTTCAGTTTGGACTCAATGACCTCTAAGGTCCTTTTCAAACAACAATAAGTTTCTATTATTCTCTGATTTAATAAGAAAACCTTAATAAGTTATTGATCAGGAGAGCGATACGATGAAAGTGATATTTTAGAAAGACCAGTAAGATAGCAATACATTAGATGGATCAGCAATGGTGGGGAAGGATGAGAGGCAAGGAAATAGTTTGGAGGCTATTGAAGAAATCTAGACATAGGGTAATGGACGTAAACATTTGCTAGAGCAGAAGTGGAAAAGGACAGAAAAGGATCCACTTCAAAGAAAGAATTGACAAGACTTGGTGGCGAATTAAAGGTGGGAGAACGGAAAAGATCAAAAGTGACTCCAAGTAAATTGAAGGGAATGGCTCAACAAGTTATGGCATATGATTGTGATGTAATATTATTGTGCTATAAGAATTGATGAGCAGGAAGATCTCAGAAAAACCTGGAAAGATTTACATGAACTGATGCATAGTGAAGTGAACAGAACTAGAACATTGTACACAGTAACAGCAATATTGTACGATGAAGATCTGTGAATGAATTAACTATTCTCAGCAATACAATGATCAAAGACAATCATCCCCAAATCCCAAAAGATCAATGAAGCAAACTATCCACCTCCAAAGAAAAAAACTGATATTGTTTGAATACAGACTGAAGTATATTATTTTCACTTTCTCTCTTTTATTCTAGTCTTCTTGTACAAAATGACTAATATGGAAATGTTTTACAAGATCGCACATGTATAACCTATATCTAATTGCTTACCATCTCAGAAAGGAGAGAGAGGTGGGAGGGAGGATTATAATTTAGAACTTAAAACTGTAAAAAAAAAGTTCAAAAATTATTTTAACATGTAAATTGGGGAAAAAATAAAATATATTAAATAACTGAGGGTGGGGAAGTGACTCCAAGTATTTTAGTCATTAAGACTATTTAGAAGGGGACCTGGCTTGATGAATGGATATGTATACTTGCCTTGGAGACATATAGAGGCAATGATGCAAGGCAACCAGCATTTATGAAGGGCTTACTATGTGCCGAGCACTTTGCTAAGCATTGGGTATACAGATGCAAGCAAAAAAAAAAAAAAAAAAAAAAAGAGGGAAGGAATATATCTTCATGGAGGCATGATGAAAAGTCCAGAAGTCCAGAATCAGATCTGGGAGGGGAATGAAGGTTGTCCAGCCCAGGCCCCTCCCCAAAATGGAAGTCCCAAGAGGTACTCTCCAATGAGAGAAGGGATCTGGCACAGCAGCGGGATGTTCCCAAGTGAAGAAGCTACAAGGACAGATGGATGTAATAGAATAAGGAGGCCTCAGATGCTGAGAGAAGTTCCTCTTGCTGGAAAAATCGAGAAGGTCAGAAGGACTCCTTTTTTTGAATCCTAGGGGGAAAAAAAAGGTCTGGAAAGAAGGTGGGGCAGGAAAATAATTGCTTCTTCAAACCATTTCCCTTTCCAAGAAAAATCTGTTGTTGTTTTTTTTTATTTTAAGAAAATCTTTCAGTGATTTCTCCATATATACTTTGTGAAACTGAGCGAGTATAAACAAATTGAAAATGTTGATGATGATCACAGGGAGCTCTGAATGTCAGATTTTTTTTTTTTTGACACCAGCTTCTTTCCATTTCAGGTGTTTGCTTTGGATCCCATTTACTGTGTATGCGTGTGTGTGTGTGTGTGTGTGTGTGTGTGTGTGTATGTGTGTATTCTCTTTTAAAGAAAAAAAGACATAACATTTCAGTTCAAAGTTGTGTTTTTAATTGGGAAATCAAATGCATCACATTTCAGTGTGTGGTTGTGTTTTTAACTAGGAGATCAAATTATAAAATATAAAACAATAACTATATCAAATACAAAACTCTCTGATTTTTAAAGCCCTTTCTAACTTGCTCTCTTCCTGCCTTTCCAGGCTTTTTTAATCTCATCCACGTGTTCTGTGATCCAGTGACACTGGCGCTCTTGCTATTGCTCACACATGACACACCACCTCCCAACTCTGTAATTTTATTGACTGTCTTGTCCCCTGCCGTCATTCCCTCCACCCCCTCATCTCACATCCCACACCCCACCCCACTCCCATGTTTAGAATTTTCTCTCTCTTCGTCTTTCCCCTGACTTCCCTGACTTCTCAAGTCTCAACTAAAATCCCACCTTCTGCAAAAAGCCTTTCCTGGTCCCCCTCAATACCTCCCATTTATCCTGTATATATCTTGTTTGTGCATAATTGTTTGTATGTTGTCTCCTCCATTGGATTGTGAATTCTTTGGGGGACAGAAACTGTTTTACCTTTCTTTGTGTTCCCCAGTGGTTAGCACATAGTAGGCACTTAATAAATATTTGTTTACTTGAAATCTCCGTCTTCTAACTATATTATTCAACAGCTGCCACAGCTGGGACAGATAGGTATCCTAACTTGTCATGACCCTTAGTGGAGGTCAAAGAGTTGCTGGTATCTATACATTTCATTTAGATTTCTCAAGAATAATGATTACATCTCATTAATACCATTCCATATACAACTATTAGTAGTTTTAAATATTTCTTCAACTAACTGGATTTCCCCCCACTTTTCCCCATTTTTTGATTTAAAAAAAAAATCCTGAAATAAACATTTACTTTAAAATGAAACTTTCTCAGCATGCCCTGGGATCAAAGCCAGATGCACCCTGATATTCTACATCTTCCATAGATGCCCCTAATTTCATAGTAGTGAGAAATGATGCACAGAAGGATTGTAGGTCAGTAAGAATGTCCACTAACCCACTTTACAAAAACTTTTAGTAAGTGTTGAAAAATGTTTTCTCATTAGCTCCAGCTTTGTGCACTCATTCCTTCATTTGCACAAAGGCAGTATTCCCATTTTACCATTATCTTTTTCTAGAAATCACATTGTAAAGTATTTGCATAGAAACAAAATTATAATTGGAGGTCGTATTCCTGACCAAGGAGCTATCAGTTAAGAAATCATAGATACAACTAAAAATGTGTCATGGGGGGAAAATGCAAAGATATCAACTATAAACCACTATATTCATTGAAAATAGTGCAATTATGTTCAGGGTTTTACAAAATGGACACAAATATACTATACAACAAACGTGTCAGACTCAAATAATAATGTATACCTCAGCTGCTAAGTGACTTAGAAAATCACCAATTACCATAATCTATGTTGTATTATACTTTTTTAATTTTTTTGTTAAATATTTCCCAATTAAATTTATTTATTTATTTATCTAGCCATTTATTTGCTTATTGAATGTATGGAACACTTCAAAATTTGCATGTCATCTTTGCACAGGGGCCATGTTAATCTTCTCTATGTTTTTTTTCCCCCAATTTTAATATATGTGCTGGCAAAGTGAGCCCCACCTCACCCCCCCCAGCAGTTACATTCTTCTCTGGTTCAGGTACCACTCAGGAGATTTGACCTCAAGTTTGATACCTCTGGGAAAGTGTACATGTGATAAGTATACAAATTATCATGAATTTCAAATGGCTTATGATCTCCTCCCTCCCATCATTCCCTACAACAATGGAGATCAAAACCCATCCATGATTGATCATCCTGGGCAATTTCTGTCACAATAATCCCACAAGTTCTCCACAAGAGATCCACTCAATATGCTGGAGGTCTTCTTCCTTTTGTTCTTATACCTTGAGTTTATTCTTGGAAGACTCTAGATATCTACTTGTCATCCCTTACCCTTACTGCTTGTTCTAGGACTAGTGTTTACCAGGATTTCCCTCTCCCCCATACCCCTGATATAGGTTAGGCTGCACTTTCCCTAAAAGGCAATAAGGCCAAAACTTGATTGCCCCTAAGATGGGAAAAGGCTCAATCTGCACCTTTCTTTGATCCAGCTTCCAGATGGTCTCTGACTGTACTTACATGACTCTCTAGTCACCTAGAGGGCTTAAAAGGTCCCACCCATATGGGATCAAATCCCATCAGCCTTAGTGAAGACTGAAGACTGCATATGAACAGGCAGTTCTCAGATGAAGAAATTAAAGCCATCTATAGTCATATGAAAAAATGCTCTAAATCACTATTGATTTGCAAACACAAATCAAATGTAAAAGCAAATCAAAACCACTCTGAGGTACCACATCACACCTATCAGAATGACCAACGTGACGAAACAGGAAAATGATAAATGTTGGAGAAGATGTAGGAAAATTGGAACGTTAATGCATTGTTGGTAAAGTTGTGAAATGAGCCATTTTGGAGAGCATTTGGAACTATGCCCAAAGGGCTATAAAAATGTGCATACCCTTTGACCCAGCAATAGCACTTCTAGGGCTGTATGCCAAAGATATCATAAAAATGGGAAAAAGACCCACATGTACAAAAATATTTATAGTAGCTATTTTTGTAGTGGCAAGGAATTGGTAATTGAGGGCATTCCCATCAATTGGGGAATGATTGAACTATTTGTGGTATATGAATATAATGGAATACTACTGTGCTATAAGAAATGATGAGTAGACAGACTTCAGAAAAACCTGGAAATACTTGTATGAACTGATGCTGAGTGAAGTGAGCAGAACCAGGAGAACATTGCACACAGTAACAGCCACATTGTGTGATGACTAACTTTGTTAACCCTTCTCAGCAATTCAAGGGTCTAAGACATCTCCAAAAGTCTCATGATGGAAAATGCTATCCACATCCAAAGAAAGAACTATGGAGTTTGAATACAGATTGAAGCATACCATTTGCTCTTTTTTTCTTCTGTTTTGTTTTGTTTCCTCTTTCTTCTGGTTCCTCCTATTATTGGTTCTAATTCTTCCTTACAACATGACTAATGTGGAAGTATGTCTAATAGGAATATATATGTATAGCCTATATCAGATTGCACACTATCTTGGGAAGAGAGGTGGGGAGGGAGAGGAAGAAAAATTTAAAATTCAAAAGCTTATGGAAGTGATTACTGATAACTCAAAGTAAATTAATAAAAAAATTTTAAAAAAGACTGAAAACCACACAAGTCACAAGATTCCACCCTTCTGGCCAGTTTATACTTCCATGTGGATATCAGGCAGGCCTGTCTAGCTTAGTTTAGTGCTAATATATAACTTTGGAATGTTATGGTTAAGTAAATCTCTTAACTGTTCAATGACTTATGAGTACCTCATTTTGTTCCAACAGCAATCCCAAACTTACAGGGTGTTAACATCAGGTTTTCCCCTAACATGATCTTAATAGTCCATTTTCTTTTCTTATCTTACAATAAATATTGCATGGTCTTATTATACATACATAATAGGTGTTACTAACCTCAAGTCTGGGATTTGTTTGTTTTTCATCTTGACAGAAATATATAAATATGAATGTCTTCCGTTATAATCCTATGCATTTTATTTTATGCATTTAAAAACATTATTCTAAGAAGAGGTCCATAAGCTTCACTAGATAGCCTAAGGGGTCCATGTCACAAAGCGAAGTACCCTTGATGTATGACAATTTTCATTCCTGTTCTTCTGAATTGCTTGCTGGTTATAAGTTAGAGCTTACTCACACTCCCCATGTACCTGTCTGTGATACTTATTTTTAATTCTTCATGGACTGTCACATTCTGTATTTTGCTGCCATATAACAACATTGGTATTAAAAAGATGGGCCTTTACTTTCATGGGAAGATTAAGGACATTAAAGGAGCTTCATTAAAGGACATTAAAGGAGTTTACTGATGTCAGTAATGCCTGTTCTAACCCCTCTTGCTCAACTCTGGGCCCATCTCATTGTTCATCATTACTGGCTATCTCAGATATACATGTTGAGGTTTAGAGTTGGGAGAACTGGTTCAGGTGTGAAAGAATTCACTTAGACCTTCTCTGTAACCATTGGGAGGTTTTTTTTGTTTTTTTTTTTGTTTGTTTGTTTTTTTCTGGTGAAAGCTTCAAGGGCCTGAGGTTAACAAGGAGCTAAACAAAAGCATGGGGCGGGGTTGGAGTCAAGATGGCAAGGGGGAGGAGCCAAGATGGCTGAGTGAAAGCAGTGACTTGCTTGAGCTCTCCCCCAAACCCCTCCAAATACCTGTAAAAAAATGGCTCTAAACAAATTCTAAAGCAGCAGAGCCCACAAAAAGACAGAGTGAAAAAAATTTCCAGCCAAAGACAGCCTGGATGGTTGATCAGATAGGTATATTGTGCCAGGCGGGGAGAGGAGAGCACAGTTTGGTGTGGACCAAAGCGACCCTGGAGCAGGCCTCAGAGGACTGAATTGCAGGCAGCTATGGTGGTTTCCAGACTTCTCAATCCCTGAACGCCAAAGACAACTTAGAAGGTCAATGGGAAAAGTCTGTGACTTCGGTGAAAGAAAAAGCTAGGTCTCAGCCACAAGCCCTGAGCACAGGCAGTGACTGCCTCCTGAGCTTCCAGCCCACAGACTGAGGGGGAATCAAGTGGCTGATCAGAGGGGGATTACAGGGATCTCTCTGCCAGTGCTGAGGCAGGAATCTCTTATTTTGCCCATGCCTAGATCTGGGTCACAGTTCTGAGGAGCAGTCCTGGGGCGAGGAGGAGTGCTGACATGGTGGAGCTTGTTGTGGCGGTGGAGAGGAAACACCTCAGCCCTTATCATAGCACCTTGGAAGACCTGAAAATTTACAGGTCCCTAGAAGTACCTCTGAAAACAGTTGTACAAACCTCCGAAACTTGGAACAGTACACTCTTCCCATTGGAAGCAGACTTTTACCTTAACAAAGAGTTTAAAACTCAAGTAATTGGCAGGGATCATGAGTAAGCAGCACAAAAAGAGTCAGATTATATTATCTTACTTTGGTGACAAAGAAGATCAAAATATATAACCAGAAGAAGAAAACAAAGTCAAAGCTCCTACATCCAAAGCCTCCAAGAAAAATATGAATCAGTCCCAAGCCTTGGAAGAGCTCAAAAGGGATTTTGAGAAGCAAGTAAGAGACATAGAGGAAAAATTGGAAAGAGAAATGAGAGTGATGCAAGAAAACCATGAAAAACAAGTCAACAGCTTGCTAAAGGAGACCCAAAAAAATACTGAAGAAATAACACCTTAAAAAATAGCCTAACCCAAATGGCAAAAGAGGTCCAAAAAACCAACAAGGAGAATGCCTTAGAAAGCAAAATTAGCCAAATGGAAAAGGAAATCCAAAAGATTACTGAAGAAAATACTTCCTTAAAAATTAGAATAGAGCAATTGGAAGCTAGTGACTTTATGAGAAACCAAGACACCATAAAACAAATACAAAAGAATGAAAAATTAGAAAACAATATGAAATATCTCATTGGAAAAACAACTGACCTGGAAAATAGATCCAGGAGAGAGAACTTAAAAATTATTGGACTATCTGAAAGTCATGATCAAAGAAAGATCCTAGACATCATCTTGCAAGAAATGATCAAGGAAAAATGCCCTGATATTTTAGAACCAGAGGGAAAAATAGAAATGGAAAGAATCCACCAATCTCCTCCTGAAAGAGATCCCCAAAGGAAAACTCCTAGGAATATTGTAGCCAAATTCCAGAGCTCCCAGGTCAAGAAGAAAACATTACAAGCATCCAGAAAGAAATAATTCAAATATTGTGGAAACACAATCAGAATAACACAAGATTTAGCAGCTTCTACATTAAGGGACCGCAGGGCATGGAATATAATATTTCAGAGGGCAAAGGAGATAGGATTACAAGCAAGAATCACTCACCCTGCAAAACTGAGTATAATCCTTCAGGGGAAAAAATGCTCATTCAGTGAAATAGAGGACTTTCAAGCATTCTTGATGAAAAGACCAGAGCTGAATAGAAAATTTGACTTTCAAATACAAGACTCAAGTGGAACATGAAGAGGTAAACAGGAAAGAGAAATCATAAGAGACTTATTAAGGTTGAACTGTTTACATTCCTTCATGGAAAGATGATATTTGCAACTCATGAGACCTTTGTCAGTATTAGGGTAGTTGGAGGGAAAAAATTATATGTATGTATGTATAGATTGATAGAGGGCACAGGGTGAGCTGAAGATGAAGGGTTGATATCTGGAGAATAAAATTAAGGGGCGAGAGAAGATTATACTAGGAGGAGAAAGGGAAAGGTAGAATGGGGTAAACTATCTCACACAAAAAAAAAAAAACCCAGAAAAGAAAAGGCTCTTACAGTGGAGGGAAAACCGGGAAGATGAGAGGGAATGAGTGAATCTTATTCTCATAGGATTTAGCTTAAGGAGGGAATAACATACACACAATTGAGAATGGAAATCTGTCTTACCCTACAGGAAAATTGGGCGGGGCAAGGGGACAAGAGAGTAGGGGGATGATAGAGAGGAGGGCAGATTGGGAAAGGAGGTAATCAGAAGCAAATACTTCTGAGGAGGGACAGGGTCAAAAGAACTAATAG